CTGACTACTATATAGTATGGCTGTTGAATTAGTAATTTTTTTTATCAAGAATTTAAACCTTACAATGAGTTTATTTATACCACACATATATATTGTAGTCCTAATTTCCCTGGGACTCTTTTAGTTATGGAGGATAGAGAGGCAAACAAAGATGATAAGCCCCCCGGGAAGTTTAAATTCTGGTGGAGACAGGCAATTAGCAAGTCAGACTCCATGTATGACATTTCACCACTCACACTCTTCAGGCTCCACCCCTCCCACTTTCTCCACCTCTGCTCAAGTAGGTAAGAAAGACAATTCTTAGAGAAAGAATTACCTTTCTAATTACCCAGTCTAAAGGCAGACTGCGTCCTCGGTCTTTTGGTGGCCGGGGTTGTTGTTCAGACCATAAAAACTCCTGTGGTTTTCAGGATAACTCTGACTGCCTGATCCACCCTCAGCCTCCAAGATCACCAAAGCCATTGTCTCTGCTCTTCTCAGAAAACCTAAGCATATGAGCAAAACACCATTTCAGATCCTCTTGAAACATGTGCCATTGTTCTGGACAGCTGAACCAATTTACTAATGATGGTAGACTAAGGTCTGTCCAAACTGCAATAAGAAAGTAACTAGCACTGTTGCTACTGATAACAGAAATTTATTTTTTATAATTTTTAAGCCTGGGAAATCCAGGATGAAAGCACTGGCAGTGTCTAGTGAAGGCAGTTTCCTTAAAGGTGTGTTTTCTCACTTCTTTATAGGTGGAAGGAGCATACAACTCCCTCAAGTCTTTCTTGTAAGGATACCAATCCCATTCCCAAGGGCTCCATCCTAATAAGCTAGTCAACTTCCATAGTCCCCATCTTCCCTGCTATCACCCTGGAAATGTGAATTTTGAGGACACAAATATTGAGATCATAGCATGGGCAAGCACAAGGCACATTTGAACAAACATGGTGATTTCAGACAACAGCAAGTGTCATAAAAAATAAAACAGGACAATAAGATAAAGATGAGGGATAATGGCAGTCAAAGAATGGGGAAAGACTAAGCTCTAGAGAACTATGTGATAACTTAGTTTCTTGACTAAAGCACAACTTGATCTGTTGGGGACAGTCAGCTTTCTTCCAAAGGTATTTCCCCTTTCTGCACATTAAAAGAGAAATAATAAGAATAGTAGTAAATCTCTTCCTGCATTTTAACTCAGTACATAGCTTCGCAGATTAAAAATAGCATTGCTCAGGTTCCTTTTAAGCTAAGAACTCATAAGACTGAATTCTGGCCAATGGGACCGGACTGGACCAACATTGTCCTGATCAGATGTAGACTTGTTTACAATTCCAGAAGCCACACAGTGCACCATGTGAGTGTGGGATTCAAAGCAGAGCAGAGGAAAAAAAAAAAAATAGAAGGAGCTTGGATCTGGACACTGCCTTCCTCTAGATTTGCATGTGTAAGAGGGAAAACCAGGAACTTGGTGAAGCCACTGAAGTTTAAAATTCTATGTCTTTCTCATCTGAACCAATCTTAAATCACTTTAAAACTAATATCTCGTCTCTCAGTATCTTCCCCCAAGTGTATTCGCTCATTAGCCCTGATACTTCTCTTTTCCCTTACCTCAAATTCCTCCTTTTCTTCTGTTCTTTGGTTAATTGAGCATTCTGCAAAACTCAAATATCTTGAGGTATTATCCGTTGAGTAGTTTTTAAAATTAACTTTTATTAAAGGGAAAATACACGAAAGTCAAAAAATACAACACAAAATTCTTATTTACCCATCAATCAATTTTCTACTTCAGACCTTATATTACTGCTGAATAAAATTTCAGAGCTCTATTGTTTACACAGGTGAATCAATCTTTACACCTTTTAGAGCTTATGACAAATTTGTAACTCATTGTTTCCTTCTCCTCAAAAAATTATCCTTTTCAAAAAACATTTTTGAAAGGTTCATCTTCTCATTTCCCCAGAGCTTCCTCTTTCCTTCCTCCTTCCTCTTTTCTTCTCTCTCTTTCCCTTCTTACTTTTCCTCCTTCTTTCCATTTATAAAAGGAGATCCAAGTCTAATTTTCCCAATCATAGTTGTTGCTATTTCCATTTTTCAACTACTAAGAATCATTCTGGTAGAGTTTAATCATTTGTAATCCCTTTACGAGTTTGGAGTAAAGGGTTTTTAAGAAGTTTCGTAGCTAGGCATGATGGCACCTGTAATCCTAGTACAAAAGAGGCAGGAGTACTAGGAGGCAGGAGATAGGAGAATCGCTGTGAGTTTGAGGCCAGCTTGGGCTACAGAATGAGTTCAAGGGCAGCCTGAACTAAACTACATAGTGAGACTCCGTCTCAAAAAAATGAGAAGTCTTACAATCCTCAATCCCACCTCAATTAATAAAAATTGGCTTCACCAGTAATACATAGTATGAAAATATAATTAACATTCATTTACAGTGACAACCAAAATTAATTATTGGGTACTATTTTAACTACATGTACTTGAAAACCCTAGTGATACTGAAGACTTGTTTTTATAACACTGATAAACACTGATGGTCATTGGCCTTGGCCATGTGAATTATTTCTCATAAAGCAAGTTGGGACTATTTTGAAACCGATCATGTGTTAGTCAAACAAAGGGAGAGAACAAACAATATTTTGAGGGAGTACAGATTATGTACTTGGTGGAGGCTGCTCTTTCTACAAAATGGTATAATCATGGTGTTAGTATCAAATTCTCATAGACTTTACGTGCTTATATTTTGATATCATGGTGAAAAATGAATTTGTAAGTTTACAACACTACAAAAATAATTGTGACTAATTAATAACACCAAATTTGTACTTTTGAAAGCCTATTATGTTCCAGAACATTGCAAAGTTATTCCTCTCCTAGGAAGTTGTGAGAAATACATACTACTTTTCAACTCATTGTCTTCACCTACATCATCACATTGAACTTCACCCGGATAAAGAAATGCCATTCTAGTACTTTTAGCTTTGTCAGAGAACTTGTAATGGATCCATATTGTGTTTACTTGTCTAGATGCAAGACTGAAATCTTTGAAAGTAAGGACTCATTGCTTTCACCTTTATATCACAAGACCCAGCTTGCAATACCAGGCCAACAGTTACTGAGTGCTCAGTACCACTTTGTAAAGTGAGTAAATACATGAACGCTTTAGACAGAACCAATAGTACAGCTTCTTAGAGATGAGGTCTATTTATGAAGTTAGCATTTAGTTCCTTTTTTTGTTCTTTACTTTTAGTGATTTTTGAAAGTATTTTTCCTTTTCTATATGATGATTTTCCAACTCATACCCTACTCCAGTGTTAGGATCCTAAGCTTTTTGTTGTGATACTAACAATCTTTCTTAATACTCCTAAAATTGTGTATTCTTATTTCTATGTCAAAGTGGGTTTCAACTTAAGATTTTAGACTTCAGAGTTGAATATTTAAGTCTACATATTACTCATGAGAAAGACAATAGAATTTTTTTTTCTCAAAAACTAAAATAACTATTTCCTGGGTTGGTAGTTTCAACTGGAGCTGGTTCAACTGGAGTTTTAAATGCTTATGGTCTTGGGGAGACATCTATTTAGAAAAACTGCATATAAAATGATGTTATTCTAGCAAATCACACACATGTGTGTGCATGTGGGGGCAGAACAGTGATGTGGCTAGGGATAGATAATACTAACTGTAGGCATTCCTTCCACATTTAAACATTTAGAATTTTCAGTGGCCTGTGAATATGAGAAAATTTATTACATTAAGGTAGACTTAGATATTTGACATGTAGCTGATATTTTCATAGTGTGAGAAATATCAAGCTGACATTATGCTGTCTCTGTGATGATTACTTCTAAATGTCAGAGTGCAGAAACTTATTCATGGGACTTCAGTGCCTTAGGATAGTGTCAATTTAAAAGACATTCACATCAACTTCTTTTTTATTTAAACATGCTAAATGAAGTATGAAAAGCAGGCTAAGAAATCAACAGAGAAAGGAAGAGCAAAGAATAAGCCTAGTGACTAGAAAAATTTAAACACAGTTATAGATTATGGTACCCTTACATCAATTTCCATGGACCCCTTTCTGACAGCAGGCTTCAGTGACTTCCTCCTAATACTTCTGACAACTGCAATCATGCTATTCATACTATTTCACTCATAGCACTTGTATTGAATTTAGAAAATTAGAAGTAGGATAAGAACTATTCAATTATTTTGGAGAGTATCTGTAATAAATAAGTGAAATAATTAAATTAATACTTTCCTACCATTTTTAATAGTAACATTTGACTTTAAATTAAAACCAAATAACTTAGCGATATTTTCAATTAAAAATGATTTTATTCACTAATCTCTTTAGAAGTTAATTATGAACCTATCAAACTGAACTGCTGCTATTTTGGAAATAATTCAAGGGAGTATTTTTTCTTTCTTTTAAAACAAATTGGCCACATTAGAGATAATTATGAGTTTAAATAAACCTTTGTCTTTCCAATTATATGCACAACAGGCCTCTTAATTACTTAGGGTCACTCAAATCCCATGTATCCTCTGAAAAACATTTCCACAGTCTATCTTGCTATATTTCCTTTCTGATCTTGGAAGCCAGTATCTTTCCCTTTTTCAGATCCCCCTCTGGTTTTTTAAGAAACAACGGGAATAATGATGATGGTGATATGGACTGTCAGTCCTAAAATTAGACAAGTTTATTTTGACTTCTACAGGTCAGTGACAGGAGTCACTCTGTAGCTTCCTAAGTTCCCATTTATCTCGTAAAATGTTATTTTGGATACAAACAAACGTTGTGGTATCTTCCTGAGCAAGAGAACTGCTTTTGGGGGCTGCAAAATTTTAAATTGTTACTTCAAAAACAAAAAGGCAAATCCAAAACACTGATAAAGAGAACTAATACACAACAGAATTGTAATCTTGTTCACTAAAATCAAAGTTGGGACAGAAAGGATTGCTAATTTTGCTACCTCACTGGTATTGCTCAAAATTTTGAAGTTTAGAATGTTACTGGTTAGCATGGGTCCTCATTTTAGTGATAATGGAAATTAAAATCAGAGCATCAATTTGTAGGGAAAAGCTTTAATTGAAAGTCAAAAGAAGACAAGGAAAAGACTCCAGCATGGGTAGTAGTGTGACAGGGCACACTCTAATAAAGAGGATCAGATTGGCCCATTTGTGGTACCAAAGAACCAGTTTTATGGGGTACTTGTGGTGAGCTTGGGATAGGTTAGTCAATATCTTAGTCCTGGTTTCATAGGTCAGGTTGAAGCCTTGTGATTTCAAGGGCAATTTGGTTCCTGTGGGAGGAGTCTTCACGACCTAAAAGATTATTTCAGTCACGTGAGGCTCTGCTGGAATCCAGGGTGACCCTGTGTTTAAGGCAATGGGGGCTTCTGAGCCTAGGTGTTCTCAGTCTTGAAAGGTGATGAGACAGGTTAGATAGGGCTAATACACACACCCTAACGCGACTGAAGAGCTGAGAGGGAGTTGACCCAGAGTGTCACAAATGAAGGTCAAGCTTTGTTCTTTTAATTGACTACTGGACATTTGTAAGCTCAACTGAAGAAAATGGAGTCAACAAAAGCCACCTGTAAGTCCCTGACTGCCTTAGGAAGAAACACAAATCATGCTCTTGATGTGCAGCAGGTGAAGGGCCAAGGAGTTAATTTGTTCTCTGTTCGCCATGACGGTGGTCCATGGGAGATTCATGGATGCCGATTTCATCATTAAGTTTCAGGAGCCACAGTAGTGCAGGAGGTCTGGGAATCCAGACCTTGTCCCGAGAGCCAGTGCAGCTTCCGTGCGCTGCTACCAGCCTGGGCTTCTTCCAGGACTCCCAAGCTTTGTGGTCAGTAAGCTCCGCCTGTTTTGTTCACTGTGGTATCTTCCCCGCGGCGGGAGCCAAAGATTCTCGGTCTTCTAGTCCCCTTCCTGTTTTTTCCTTCCCGACTTCCAAGTTTCTGTAGCCCCCAACTCGTTGCAGTGCAGTAGCCCAAGGCTGAGTATGCACCAGGACGGGGAGTTCAAAGCCTGGGGCTAAGGTTACAGCACGCGGGGCTTTGCGGGTAGACGGCCCTCAGCAGGCAAAGCGGAAGGTGGGCGGGGCGGGCCTCGGGGCCGGAGCCCCCGGCGAAGGGCCTTTCACCTCCCACGAGACTTCGTGAAGGAGGAGGATGAGCCTCCCCCCGGGATCCGGAAGCCCGCGCCGGTGGGCGGGACTCCACCGCCCCTTCCGCCCCACTGCGCTAGCGCGCGCGCCCCCTGGTGGCCGCGGGCCGCATCGCCCCCGGCGGCGGCGGGATAGAGGCGCAGGCGCAGACGCGCGGACATGGCGGAGCCTGTGCAGGAGGAGCTCTCGGCTCTGGCCGCGATTTTCTGCGGGCCCCGCGAGTGGGAGGTGCTGAGCCGCTCAGGTGACGAACCGTGCGGCGGGGGCCCGAGGCGTCCCCCGCGCCCGCCTGCAGGCCGCCCAC